TTCTATTGTAGAATTTGATGCTCCCATTCTTAATTAGCTGTTTTGATGAACACTGTTGGAGTGAAAATGATTTCTGCGTGCAAAAGCAATTTCTTATGTTGAAGACGAAAGCCGATACCGAGTTCACCGAATCAGGCGTCTGAGGCTCAAGCCCATTATATGATGGAATTGGCGAAACGTTTACTGATCGAGGCTGGTGGTAGTCAAAATACAGTGATCTTCAATGCATCGCAAAATATTGCTGGTCAGAATAACGCTCAGCACAACGGTTCGTCAATGTGTACAGCTCTTTCGTTTGACTTTTGCTGATATGAAGACAAGAACTTCAATTGTTGTATTTGAGCTGAAATCGGTACAATTGAGATGAATTCTCTCTAAACAGTGGTCTATGCATATGGATTGCTAAACATGAAATGTTTATCTACTCATATTCTATTTTATAGGTCCTCATCGACAGTTGCATATTTGCTCATTTTTGATCGGTCTTTATGCGCTTGGATTGAATAATTTGGTATCAACAAGTTGGCAGACTCGCACGTACAGTACGAATGTTAGCTGGATACATGGACAAGCGATTGAAATTGGTAATCTTCCTTTTTTCATCTCTCTGAAAGGTTTCCTATTCTGTTCATTTGGTCATTCAGTCGATCACTTTTGTCACTCATTATCTTCTATATGAACTCATGCTTATTCAGAGATATTCGTATGAACTGAACGTTTTTTTCGATAATTGATTCGATTTAAGGTTACACAGCCATCAAGATCGTTGAACGCGTTTGGGAGTCACATCTCACCCCAACAGAAGTTGCGGCACTTGCTGATAAGGTTTGTTCCGATCACACACTTATCTCATTCTATCCAAATTCTTTTTTCGAATCCTCATTCGTTGCTATTTTTCGACTCATATTAACGACATCAGCAATGGCCATTTGCAGGCAAGTCAGAGTCGTGATCCAGGTATGGTTGAGGCAGCAGCTAAGTTAGCACTTAGCGTGCTTCCGAAAGCATATGCGCTGACGGCAGCCGAAAGTCAAAAGGCATTGCATCAGTGCAAAGAGCAAAGTTCTGAAATGCTCGAGAAGGCATGCAAAGCTGTCGAGCAAGTTGGTGATCTTGAAGTGTTATTTTGTTCGACGTATCATTTTCTGAATCGATTCGTTTGAACAGTTGATCGAAATCTGTTTAGAAAAGTTGTATTCAACGGTCATTATTCATTTTCAATGTACATAACTAAATTAATCAATTTAATTCTCAGTTCTCACAAGTTCTTAAAAAAACGATTGTTTCAGGCGGCTGAGAAGGATGGTGTTTATCCGGAAGTATTGTTCAAAGTTGCCCGTCATTGGTATGAGTTATTCTGTGAAAGTGAAACAAATGCTCAGCAACAACCAGTCACCACAGCGAATTCCCTCACAAATACGCCTCTACAATCTCAATCGCCTGTTGCACAATTCCCACCAAATATCACTCAAACGCAATCTGGCGGTGAAACGCTACCTCCACAATTACATCAGGTAATTACATTGATAACTATTCGAAGTGCTATTGGAAAATTGCTTCAATCTGTCCCATATTCATTTTGGTTTGATGAAATAAATGCGATATGTGTCAATTTCGCTAACAATTTTCAAAAGAATCAATTTCATAATGCCGTCTGAAATCATCCCACACCACTTAACTATCTGCGTTGATAAGACTATAATCTGTTTGCATGGAATCTAATCGATTGCAGCACTAGCACTGTAAGCATGTGAAAGAGTGATGTATGATGAATGTTGTTGTTTTTAAAGGTTTTTTATCCTACGAACGGTACTATGCTGCAGATACCGCAGATGCAGTTCACTCAACTTTCGCTTGCCCAGCAACTTCCCTTCCAACAAGCATCCTATTATCGTTTTCCACCTCAACATCCCTCAGCCACTCAACATCCGTCTGCGTTGTCTCATCGATCCGCATCTCTTTTCATGCAACCGATCAACACCGCTCAACAGCAACAACAACAACAACAACAACAACTTATCATGCCTTATGGACCACGGTACTTCATTTACTGATTATTTTATC